AAGCGTCGATCAAGGTCTGTCAATCCAGGGAAACTGCGTAGCTCTCAAAATGAGTCTGAAAAGTGGTGTTCTTTAGTCGCATCCATCTCTTTCGGAATTGGAATAATACCGCCGGGAGTGGCTGTGTTCCAGTGCTTGTAGTAATTCTTTTCTGAATTCACATTTTGACGGTCGATGGTTATCCAAATTCGCACAGTCGTTCAGAAACTGCTCTTAGGTGCCTCAGGTGCTCTGTTTCGGGCTTGTTAGCCACTAGCGGGTAGCGTGTATATCTCCTGACCAAGGGTAAATCAAGAAGTGCCTGATCCGCAAATCTTTGCACGGTTCAAGGAGTATTTATCAAATCGAACGATATATGTGTGATTTCGAATAGCACAAAGGGAGCAGTGACTGCATTTCTTGAAACACCATTGTGTTTCATAGGGGTATGGTGATGAGCCTGAACGAGACCGGTTTTGGGGGAAATATTAGCTTCCGCCTTGGAGTTCACAAAATCACGTACTTGATGGACGTGGCGTCTGTCGGTGGCCCTGTGCTTGGCTAACGCTCTTTGATTGACACAAAGTCGCACTTCACCTGGTGCTTGTTTTGGAACCATGTACAGGAGTGAAAGGTGCATTACTCTCATCACCGGAAGCTTACTGGACTCTACTTCTGCTACCAGTGATCTTTTAATATTTAGGCCTCCAGGTCCTGGTGAAACTTGAGGACCTCTGGTAATAGCGTGGCGTGCCACTATGTTAAATAGGTTTTTGTGAACTTGGGAAATTCTCCACTACTGTGCCACACACAGTGTTAGTTATTAAAGTTAGTGCTGAGTTTATTCTTGCATCAGTAACGATGTCAGACATAAAATACTGACTGCTACAGCCAATCAATTTATGGCGACCGTAGTCAACTAGCAGCTCGCAATGCTAAAAAATCTATACCAAAGATGCAAGATGAGATTTCAGCAATGATAGGTTCCTCTGGAGGGCTGTCCGACGACCCGGGTTTACGTGGGAACTTGGTGACATGAGGGTCAGCACCCGATATGTTTGCCACTGTGAGCTCCAGGACTGGGTGAAAATGGTATTTCTTGAAAGATACACATAGGATCAAGCCCGCTTCCACTTCATTGTCAATCAAAATTGTGACCCTGTCTTTTTATTCGTTACCTGAAGTGAACGTCAGTGCTTATCCATGCCAGAAAGACAGCAAACAAACTCGTGAATAATCACCAAACTTTGGCGGTGCCAGCAGATGCTATTTTCAACGTCTCTACAGGCGTGATTCTGTCGTCACTGCGGAATGTATTTCTTTAGGACTTCGGTGACCATTTGCGTAACTTTAAGGCCGTTAGTTGTTGTCTCTAAGGCGGCTACTTAGTCGTTCTGTGTTGGATCAGCAGTGTTTTCATCTGTCTAAGTGTCCTTACGTGCACGTAATAAGCAGTTTTGCCCAACCTTTCAATGTCTTTGCCTGCCTCTCCACCAGTTGTTACTTATTGAATACCCGAAGTAAGTTTGTGTAGCCAAAGCCCATAGAATGGACGTTTGTCTACATTCTCGTCTCACAATGACGTTTCCATATACCACTCGGGTCGTAAAGGTATTTTGCCAAGTTACACGAAAATAAAAAGTTCATCAACAGCTTTCTGGTTCGATAAAGAGGTGAATTTTACCACTTTCTGCTTTAAAGCATCTCAAAGCGTGTCTGGGCGGGGTTTTGGTGGCGCCTTCCTTACGTGCCCTCCAGCTTCTGGCAGAATGGAGCTTGTGTATTCAGGCTTTGTGCCTTGAGAAGAAAAAATAAGCCACGAGGAAACTTTCTAGACAAATGAGCCGTAACTGATTGGTCGGTAAACTCAAAAGAAGGCACAGGAGGATCAGTAGCGCCCACGAACCCTGTATGTGAAAGCTCCCCGCCATCAGAGTCTGGAGACATTAAGGATGGCACAGCGAACCACAGTGCTGAGGAGAAAGTGGTATAAGCCGAAAAAATTAAGGGTCAGGAAAATGCAGACTCCTAGCACGGTGTCACAAGAAATGTTCCCAATATGTATCTGAATCATATACGTTTGTCAGGTAGTAGGAGTAGGTTTACAAAAATGAAAGCAATAATAGCGTCCAGAAGGTTATGCACCAGCAAGCTTTTGGAGGGTTGTTTCATTAGTGCGACACAACTTTGTTCAACCTGCATCCGACTCCAGTGCTCTTGAGGTGCCATCGCTTTCCTTAATACGGTAAACGTCGCTATACTTGCGTCAGACAGTGTGAAAACAGGAGATAAGGCGAAGTATGAACTGAGACGTTGTGCCGACAACAAATCAACAAATTAGTGATCAGCGGAAAGCAGGCAGAGCGTTCTGCTTCCGAACAGTAAGACAAGCCTTTAAGCAGGGGTTCATCGGTAAGTATATCAGCGGATACAATATGACATCCGTTACACGCTGCTCTATCTCTGGGAATGAGGTTCGAGGCACGTGAGAAGCGGGTGGCGACATTTGAAATACACCTCACATGATAATGCAGAACGGGAGATGGTCCTTTAATAGCTCACAGTATGCTATATACCGTACTTCATCTACCTCCTCGGTTTCTGTAGGCCTCTGGCGTTAGGAACTGAAAGTGGAAGGCTGGATGTTCAGTGCAGCTTCCACCTTTCAATCACCGTAGCATTTCGGGGAATGCGCCATGTTCATTTGCACCAGACATCCTCATTTGTGTCTCTCAGAAAGAAAGCCCAAACCTGATTAAGGATCAAGTGCCAACTAACAGGTGGATCTACCTATGGTTTGAACCCTGTGTAATGACCAATATCCAAGCATTTCTGTTTGAAAGCAGGAAACAGCTGAGACAGCTGCTGTATAGTTTTTCAAACTTCATTGAGTCATGCAAGGCCGAAGATTGTGTTTCAAAGATATCAAAACGCGATTTGAAGTGACAAATCTGAGATGGAATTGTGGTAAATCTGTGGTACTTTTAAACAGCACCAAATTATATCAAAACTACAAAAATACCTCAACAATGCCGTTGGGCAACTGTACAGTCCACAAATTTCTCTGACACGGAGTACGTACTATACAGCAACAAAATTCTATTAACCAAATACAGTTAGGTGAAACATCTTAGAACACATAAGAATATTCCGGACAAAATTGGGTGGAAGTTCTGTCCACAAGGATCACGTGGAGTATTTGCTATTCGGCACGTCAAACATTTCCATCTAAGCAGCCATTTTGAAGGGCAGCTGGATATAGAAATGCATCCACCACTACATCTGTTAACGTGACGGAGTTCCAGGACTGCGACACATGGCTAATGAACTTAAAGATGTCGTAAAACCAAGTATTTGCGAAACTTTAATCACTCAGAATAGGAAGATCTCCGGGCTGTGGCGACGTCCGACTGGCGGTCCTACAGAGTTGTGTCGAAGTGCTGAGTGTACTCACATGCATTCTGTTCATGAACTCTTTGGAAGTAAGTCAACTCTCGAAAGAGTAGAAGTGTGGTATTTTTTCACCAGCCTTCAAAGAGAGAGGCCGAAAAACCCAAGCAACTGCAAACCAATGGCGTCATTTCCCACACTGTCCGAAGTACCGGAAAGCCCGGTTTTAAGTGCTTTTTGGGACCACCTAAGCGGAAAAAAAGTCGTTCATCACAGCCAACATGACCCCAGAACCAGATAGCCATGCACCACAAAGGTGGCGACTGTTTGGGATGAGTGGACCACTATATGGGACAACGGGCAACCAGTTCACGTTATCCTTCTAGGCTTGACCAAGCCTTTCGATAACATCCCACGCTACACTCTGTTCATCAAACTTGCGAAGCTGAGTATCACTGGACCACTCATGGCATGGTTTACGGCATGTCCAGAGGACGGAGGATTTCATGCTAAAATAAATTGAATTCGGTCAGCCTTGAGGAGCGCAAGAACAGGGGCGTCAAGGGGAGACCCATAGGCAATTTCTACCTTAGTATTCATCGGTGACCTCCACTCTCACATCCCCTCACCCATCCTCCTATTTGCCGGAAACACCAAACATAGGGGGCAGTGGGTGGGGGAGAGAATACTGGGATATCCCGGGACGAGTTGCCATAGTTGTGGTCCTGTTCAGCTGTGAGTGGTTTGAGCATTGACTCGGCGAAGTGCAAGGTGGTGTACCTCCTCACACCGGAGGGGATGAAAACCAGCAACACTCTCAACAAGTGCTCAGCCATCACGGTATCCAAAGAAGGGGGTCTGGGACTAAGCTTCCCTGCTACACTGGATACTAGTGCTGGCTATAGGGAAATGGCGGGAACGGTGGTCGCCATCATCCAGTTTCTAGGAAAACGGTCTGAAGAGCTGACCCCGGAGTTAATTTTCATGGCTTGAAAAACCCACGTTAGACCAGAATCAGAGGTATTCAGCACGATGGCTGCCTCTGCTAAAGAGAGGCGTGAGTACCCTCGAGAAGGTAAGGAAAATGAGAACAGGGTCAGCTGTTGGACTAACAAACAAAACACATGAGAGGCGCCTTAGACAACTCAACTTGTTGACATTAAGCTATCGAAGAAGAGGAGGCCACCTAATAACAGCCTACAAGGACCCACACCAGGTCTGTCACCCCACGAAGTTAACGCTATCGGGCCCAAACCGACAGTCTCCTGGGAACCCTTCTTCCATACCTCACCAGATGGCACAGAATGTGTCTTGTGGAATGCTAAAAGAAGTAGCCACAGCTGTATTGGTCGAATTCTTCAAACGACTGCCAGTTAGTGCGTGAGCGCAAACGGCTTACCACGAACATTTGCCGGTAGCAATTGAAGGTATGTTTATCCAACCCACATTCCCCAACCATAGTGTCTACAATAAGACCCATCGCTTTCCCATATTATAACTGCTAACACTTGTTTTTTAATAAGTTATTTTCGCTTCTCAAAGCTACTTGTTTCCCCTGCTCGCACTTTTACTGTTGATGTTGAACCTCTCATTTCTTGTCTTGTGTCAAAAGTCGGTCTTCTGCTGTAGAGGCGCGCAGTTTGGTCTGCTCCCTTATTTCGAGTTTTGCCGAGAACATGTCCGCCATTCGAAAGAAGCTGGTCATTGTTGGGGATGGAGCTTGTGGAAAGACATGTCTACTCATAGTTTTTAGTAAAGACCAGTTCCCTGAGGTTTATGTTCCAACTGTTTTCGAAAACTATGTTGCTGATATCGAAGTTGACGGGAAGCAAGTCGAACTGGCCCTTTGGGACACAGCAGGTCAAGAAGATTATGATCGTCTCCGACCTTTGTCGTACCCGGACACCGATGTCATATTGATGTGTTTCTCTATTGACAGGTTGGTTGCATATTTACTTTTCCATACGTTTGGTAACTATGTTCAGTACTTGGCTAATGTAATTAGAAGACGTAGATTATCTGGAAAATATGATGTATTAGCGCTATACATTTCGAACAATCTGATCATATATATATATATATATATATATATGTAGATGACCACCTTCAGTCGTTAACCTTGGTAGCATCGGCAGCTTTTGGTTAGCGGCTGTAGGTTTTCATGTTTAAATACCGCTGTGCTGGTTCTAGAACTACTTAGCGTTATCTAGATGACTTTAAGCACTAGTCAAATGCACTTAGTTCGTGTTTTATGTTATACCGAATATATAGTTTAGTGTGCACAGCAGTATCTGAACTATCTACTGCCAGTTGTATTAAGTGACTTTTCAGAGGGTTTTCACATTGTAATTAGCCTGTGGTTTGAGACGTTGATGGCCAGGGTGGTAGGATAAGCAGCCTGTTGTTCTTGGTAGTAGTTTCCTCAGTTTCTCCTTGCATGTATTAGCCCAAGGAACTTGCACCACTTATTGTGGTAGTGAGTGTCAATCGTAAGTCACTAGGAACGCTTACTTTCATATGACCGCCGCAGCTTTTGGATCTGATGACCTTTAAGGGGTTGTCCTAGAGGGTGTAAAGGTGAATCAATACGAGTTATTAAGTGATTAGATTGCAATGATCACCTAGGAAAGGCTACTAGGGTCCACTTCGCTTCTCAGTATCCCACTCATCCTTACTCTTCCCTCTTTTTGGTATTCACAAGCTATGGTTTGATCCACAGTAAATTTTAGGAGCTTTTCCGCCAGCCCTTGTCGGAATCCTTGCTACAGTCAAAAGACATCATGTTCCCAAATAGTTGGTTTTCCATAGCTGTGATTCAGTCCTGCTTCTCACAGTAGGTTTGTCGAACATGAACTTCTAGTTTGAAAGCCATTGTTTCTATCTCAGAACTGGTAGTCGACTGGTTTCATCTTGCACTGCACTGAATTAGTTTAGTACAGGACACAAGAATGGACGTAAAAAATTACATGAAATGACACTATTTCACGTTGCTGTGCTTCATCATAGCGCCAAAAACGGTGAGAAAATTGAAAAATGTTGGTATTAAAGTAATGTGTATGACAGGGTAAAAATACGAAAATCAGCAACGTTCAGAGTCTAAGAGGTGGTGAAGGGCATATATCTATCTATTCGCGTTGTTATCGACTTTTAAGCATTCTACCTAGTGTACCCAGTCGCCGAAATTATCTTAAGAACCTCGGAAAATAAAATAAGTGGACAAGATGTGTTACTAACAGTAATGAACTCCAGTATACCAAAAAGTGGCGACGTAGAACTCAGCAACCACATGGGGATTCATGTCTCGACTGTAGTTGGTCTCTAATGTGACGCTGCGAATTATACCATCAGGCCACTCAAACTTGTTAAATGAAGTTCAGACGTGCAATCACTCCTTGGAAATTTGGCAGAATATCGCCAAAAAGACAATTATATTCACTAATCTACTAATCGATTCTGATCGCGCTGCAGGTCGTATAAAAAAGCAATAGTTTTTCAGGGAACCTAAACCTAGTTAGAACTGTCTTTGTGAGATTTCTTGAGGCTGTCAACCACATTGCATTCGTTAAATGTAACATGAAAGTGTAAAGCTCGTGTAGTATTGGTCAGTGCGTTTCATTTGCGATGCTGTGATGATATTACTATTAGCATGTGACTTACAAATTGGGCATCTAAAGGGTTCCGGTATTCGATCATACGTATCTTCGAAGTTGTTTTTGTGCCTGACGAAAACCAGCGAACGAGCTTTTCAGCAGGCAGCGATCTAGTCGGTGCTAAGGTACTGTTCATGCCAATGTACTGTGCTTACTGGAATGGGATTATGATGGAAAGAGCCAGAGTTGATCAGACTAGAAATTAACACCGATCTATGAAGTCGTCACCTGCTGGTGTGAGCCATACTGGAAACTGCTGACTCATTGAAATGTCATCTGATTGTTCAAAAGTAGACATTGAGGTCTCTACATCACATATTCCGAAGTCAACTACAATGGTATCGTTGTGCTCATCCTTGGCTTCCTAAATATTGGATGTTATATCAATCTTTTTTTCTTTGTTTTTTCAGCTGTTGATACTCCATTCAGTGTCTTAATTCAGTCGATTTTTTTCTCTTACAAAGCATGTGAATTTATGCTGTTTGTGATTTTTTTATGGCGATGTAATTAAATGTTCCAGTCATAAGCGATGTCTTTCGAAAACTGGCGACCAATCGTTTGTCATTTACTTTTGGTGATCATGCGTTAGAAAAGACTCAATTATTTTGCATACTTGGTCGATCCTAGGTAATCCGATACCTTAACTTCCTCATAGGCTTTCGCGAATCAGTTGAACTTCTGTCGTAGGCTGACCCATCATGGACAATACAAATAAGAGGAGTTGTCAACGCATCTAATCTTATTGCTCATTATTGTTGAAATGAGTGTTGACTTACACATCTTAAGACATTGTTAAAAGCTTCACACGTGCATACCACATATTGTAACCCGTTTCCACTTGGTAAAGCACCTTATGTATCTATCCCTAACAGTATAGTCTTCATAGATTAAATCGAGCAAGTGATTACTACCCGAGAAGTAGCTGGTAACTTCTGTAAACAAACAAGATCTCGATGTTTTGTGCTTGCATTGCTTATTTTGTACTACTAATAAACTAATCGTCATGGGCTTATGTTCTTTATCTTTTTTTGAAGCAGTGGAATCGTTACTTGATCGATTAAAAATGGTCCGGTGTAGTTACTGGTACTGTACTAGGTTACAAACCACGTTTAACGTGCAAGCTTTACTGATACTACCTGGTTGCCCAGTAGTTGGTATGGAGTTTGAGTCCGAAATCCACTGTCAAGTGCTTGTACTAGTGATCTATATCTCTACAGGATTGCCTTGTGCATATAGAAAGCCATAAACAATAGGCGTCCTTTAAAATGTTATTTTGGTTACATATTGGTTATCTGACATTGGGTGATAGCGTCAAGTTTGGTATTCTAGACAGTGAAGGAGCCTTAAATATATTAGTAAAAAGTTATTGGCTATCCTGTGGTCTCTCTTACTATCAATCTACTGTACATTTTTAATGATTTGGTTCCTATTCATATTTTCAATTGCATTCGTTGTATGTAAGCGATAGTTTAAAAAAGGTTGAGTAATTCTATATGTTGTGGGGTATGATGCGATCAGTTCGTCAGTTTTATTGATCACTAGTTATTTGGAACGGGTTATCATTAATCGAGTATAATTACTTAGTCATCAGTTATATGGTTTTCGTGAGCACTCAACTACCCCGTATCATGTATCTGCATTCAACCTTCCTATCGAACATCATTATATCATTCCGTACAATCACATACTATTGTTTCATTACAAAGTTGTTGCCTGCTTTACACTTTTTCTGGTATTTGGGCACAACTCTAAACCTCAGCATGACTTTACCATTTCTGTCCCCATGCACCGAATGTAATTTGCTGTTCTCGCGAAATCATGTGTGATAACGATCGTTTCATCTTTCGTCAGCTAGCTATCGTATTAAACAACGGATAGCCGTCAAGGGTGTCCACTTTTCCCATTTTCTCCTAACTTTGTCTTGGATATGCTTATGTAGATCCCCTTATGTAACGACCTTCTTCCCGACCGATAATTGCTACCTTGACTTGGTGGTTGGACTTGTATATCAAAATGACATACTAGCTATCCTGGTCCAATTCTTGTTCCACTGAGATTCAAACATGCTAGAAGTCTTTGATAGTGGTAGGACAAAAAGGAGTCATCGTTGTGGCGTAATTTATTGTCCCATGATGGAGAAGAGGTATGAGGAGTTCCTTACAGATAACCAGCAGTACCATTCTGATGTTACCTTCTGTGTCGGAATGAGTTGGGGTGGAATAGCTTGACCCCAAAATACCACAATCCTCTACCCTTCGACCTTCTGGTGCCAATAATATGGGTTTCCTAGGTGTATACAACTCAATTAAAGCTGAACCACAAACTTTCAAAAAGTCCGTACGTAACCGACCCCAAGTAAATATCCCTTGGGCTCTGTAGTCATGCATCATCGTTGCTACAAATCCAGTTTCTTCACAAGATGCTTAAATTTTGGTGCTTTCTACCTTAGTGTGATGAAATGAGGTGTGGCGACGTGTCGTTACATAGCAACACCAGGTTCCATGTTGATATTAACTGTCTGACTTATTTAGGAGTTTAAACACACCTGTTGGATATCTGAATGTATCGTCTCTTTCTCCCTCTCTAGAAGTTTTTCACTAAGTAATTTACGACTTCTCAGAGGGCGACTTGTATGTGTGTGCATTGATATAACCGCTGTAAACTGTAGACTTTCATACATGTTGCCATTTTTACTTGTTCCAATCTCTTACCCGACTGCATAATGTTTTCTTCTCCATCTATTGTTTTAGTACTGACAGTCTTGATAATATAATCGAAAAGTGGCATCCGGAGGTAAAACACTTCTGCCCAAACGTTCCGATAATTCTCGTGGGTAATAAGCAAGACTTGCGTAGTGATGAACGAGCACATCACGAGTTAGCAAAAGTACGCCAAGAGTTAGTCAAATATGAAGAGGGACGCCTCATGGCTGATCGTATCAGTAAGTTTTGTGTCTATGTTTTGTTAAGTCTTATCTGTTTACAGTAGGTTAATTAGAAAACTAGTCAGTTAATCCCCACCAGTCTTTAATTGAATTATTTAATTGAATACCCATATTTGAAAGATGCTGTTTTCCTTTCCTTTATCTTTTTTTAGTGGATACAAGGATTAATTATTTATGTCGTCTACTATCGTAGTTGCTTATACATGAGGCCTGTATACTTAACGTTTCTGATCTCTACTAGAAAACTATCTGTAACGTAATTTTCAACTTTTCTCTTTAGAATAGTGGACTAGAATGTTTCGAATTAACTGTATGTAAACCTTGGTAAGTAGATTTATCCACTCCTTCAGAAGCTTGATTTTCTGATATCTGTAGCTTTTGAGCTTACTTATGTATTACCATCCAAACACAAACCTAGTACAGCATTGGCATCAAGGGATATATCATACAAAATAAGGAAGCAACACTATGAAAACGCAGAAAACTCAGGAAAAATGGAAAGGAAAGTAGAAATGGGTTGTTATAGGAGTAGTCTCAAAGATACATGATCGCCACTGGTTTGGATTCCGAGCCATGTGCTATTGTCTCAAGTCACTAGGTTTCATGATATCTTGGACACCATCCAGAAAGTTGTGAGGTACCTACAGATTCTACCCTGATACAACTTCTTCATCCCATGGTACCACATCGTACACTTTCGTCATCGAACATCCTCAACTTGGAGAGGCAAGGTTTCACGAGTGTAGAATAAAAATGCCCCCAGTGGCACGCTGTGTATACTTGACCTTATGCTGGGAGGTTAACATCACGAAAGCAGCGAAGGTGACCTAGATTGGTGCATTCTGACACGATGCAGAGTCTTCTGCACACCTTTAGTAGCAGTTTGAGTGTTTGGGATGAGTTTCTCGCCACCCGAATGCAAATTGTTGCTCCAGCACTGGTCTTCAACGATGCCCCGGCTCACAATAGAGAGTGAAGTGGTCAAGCGCGTTAAACACTTAACTTACGTGAGAAGTCAGATCAGCCTTGGTGGATCAATAGCGAACGAACTCTCTACATAGTTACGAAAGCTCGGTTGGCTTTTGCCAACTTACGCCATCAGTGGCGCCGCCGTGATATCGGATTGTCTATTAAGGATTGAGTGTACTGTGCTGCAGTCTGTTCTGTTCTACTGTATGCCTGTGAACCATGGTCATTGAAGGTAGAAGACTTGGGAAAGCTTCATGTATTTGACCACTGTTGCCTTCGTAGCATAGGTCATGTTTCGTGGTGTCACCACACGAGTAACGCAGAAGTCAGGCGTACGGAGGAAGAGAGGTAAGTCAGCTAATGCAGTTGTTAACCTTCATCGACTGAGGTGGCTGGGACATGTGCTACGTATACCTAGCCACCGTCTGCCACATTGCACAATGTCGGCCGAAGTAGGTTCAAGCTGGAAGTAGGCTCGGAGTAGCCAGACCAAAACGTGGCATCAATACATGAAGTTCTTGACTGCTCGTTTGAGCCATGCAGGACGATGCAGACTAGCCGGTTGGTTGGAGACTGTAGGTGATATGGCTCAGAACCTATGTAGTGGTTCAGATGTATGCATATATTATCTTTATCTTAACCGCTACACTTAATCTCATCACTTTCTCATTGTTCCTTCGCCTACTTTACTACTTTCTACTTCTTTTGACCGATTTTCCTTTCCTTCGTCTATTTTATTGCCTTGCCACTCGTTGTGCTGATGTGAGATGTGACAACTTGGACCGTTACACAATAATGCCTGGTCCTATGTTGATCTTGATGATGTCCAATAATACAGAAGCACCTCGATCGTACAAAACATACTACGTTTACGCACACTAATCACTAACTGACTGAGTACAATTTGTGTAGCTTGTATGTTATCGCACAGTGAAACAATGCCGTCCGCATATTCAAGATCGAAAAGCTTTACCTGGTAACACGTCTACGTAACCACACTTCTTTCAGGACTGTCTGTAGGATGTCATCAATACCTAAGGTGTAAAGGAATGGCAAAATTAGGTAACCCTGTCTAACTTCACCATTGGTTTGGAACAGTGTATATATCCACTCAACCTGGGGTGTTAAAGTGTGGGGCTTTCGTAATATTAACAAATTTCTCAGGGATGCCTCTCTCTGGCAGACATTACAATCGTATAGCTCTATCGTGTGAATCAAAAGCAGCCGCAATATCGAGGAATATTGCGATCGTTGGTCTGCAATACATGTGACAGTGTCCGACAGTCTGACGGAAGGTGAACACGGAATCAGTGTATCCATGACCTAAACAAAACCCAACCTGCTCCTCGTGGTTCACTTTCTCACGCGTTTCGCACAGCGTGTGAAGTATGACAGCAGCCAACACTTTAGACACTACCGGTTGCAGACTGATACCTCAATGGTCATCACATATATCGTCTAAACCTTTTTGAAGCTGGGTAGAATAGTGGTTTCATCCCAGAGTTATGCAACACTTTCAATCTTCCGTACCTCCCCAGACAATTTGGTCACTCCCCTGACCTCAGTTTCACGTCCCTCATCAGAAAAAACCCAGGATAAACTGTCTGGGCTGAGTTCCCTATAGTAATTTAGTACTTAGAGTCGTTTGCAGACTTCCACTAATTTAGGTGGGTTGGTGTTAACAGAACGTGGAGCATAGGAAATTAAGACTAGTGTCCCAGACAGTTATCGGCGTCTCACTTTAACCAAGCCTCTTGACGCTGATGGCTCAAAAGAGTTGGGACATCTCCCAACTGTTGTAAGACACAGCTACTACTCCCATCTGTCTTGCGCGCCCTCACCATCAGGCCTAATGATCCTCACATAGACGCCGTTTGATCTGTTGATCACACTGTTGTACTCACTGCTTACCGGATTGCATCCATGAGCATAAAAAGTCGCACGGGTCTCGCTAAAGCCGGGTGTTTATTAGGGGGACGTTCTTCAAGGCTACAACCATATTTAGTTACCGTTTTCATGGCATTTTAGAACTACAGCCAGTGTTCGTTTGTGATTTCTGAAGGTTATTCAGCCAGCTTTGGATCTAGCTGGGTTTTCGTATTTGGCTGCAATATTAGAAGCAACTAGTTTTCTTACGTCAACCCGTTTACAACAACTTTAATGACCACTAAAACGCAAGGTGAGCCTAACATACACTAGAGCGTGGTCAGAGTCCACACAGGTGCAGTTCTGAAAACACTCATCTCATCTGTAGCCTACTGCAATATGATCTATTTGATTCCGGATTGAGCTGGCAGAAAGAGGATGCTAGGTAACACAACAGCGGTGACTGTACTGGAATTTGCATCTAGCTAGAAACAAGTTATAATCTACTCGAAGCTACAGAAGGTATCCCTCATCTGGTCTGCAACCAACTAATCCCCACTGGCCACCTAAACGACCCTCGTTTGAACCCAAATATCCGACCCATGCATTCAGGTTTCCTACTATCACTACGATACCCGTCGAGTTCACCTAATTGATGACTAAGCTCACTCTGAATGGACTTTCTGAACTGACAGATGGCAAAGTTATTTGAAGTACTTCAGTTTAATGCTTCTATTTGGGTGTTTAAGACGCAGCATGGATTAACACCAAAACGTTTTGTAGAGTCTGATCTACATTGAAACACGGACGTTGACGGATCCCAGTGTAAGCGATGTGCACGGTTCTGGAATAGTTGTATTAGATATCGCACTGGAAGGCAGCTTTCTGGAAGTAACTATCTGGCGATTCAAGATAATGTAGACGGACCAGAATTTCAGTTGGTTATGAGCAGGTGAGTGAAACAAAGATACATAAGAAGATAAAGTTAAAAATGGTGACGGAAAGACAGTATATTTCAAATGTAAAAATAACGTCAATACAAGGGTGATTGGGAAGAAAGTTCGTTTCATAGTGAATTCTGTTTCGAGGAGAAAAATTTAATACACGTCTATTCCATTCATCCATCGTGGATAGTGAGGCTTACTGGTTAAGAATCAGGGTTTTCTAGGTTTTAGGTATACTCTCTACTTACACCAAGCAGGTTACATTAGAGAACTTTCTGGTTTGCCCTTTCACTTTTGTGAAAAGGCCCCACCGCTTGAAGTTAGTGAGTAGGATTTTCCTGACAGAATACGGGGTCTTGTGAGAGCATTTCGAGAGGAATCCTTCCACACTCTGTTGTGTCATGGCTTTTTAAAGGTTTGAGGTTGCCCAACGAAGTTCTACATGCTGAACGTCTCTATGAGACAGTTGAGGTTTTGGGTGGTTCTCGTTGTTGATTTTTTGAGAGGTGCTAGGTGCTACACAGCGATTCTGTAGAAAGTTTATGACCTGGACTGTGATCCAAACATGCTGTTTAATAGCTTATGATGCTACCCAGTTACTTAGGCCAAAGCAATAGGGCAGAGATTCAAACTTGAGAGCTGATACTTAAAAGTAAAACTATTAAACCACTGAATGACTCTTTGTTCAACTTTGGTATGTAATTATGATTTACCTACCTTCAAATTTATAAGGAATAAATCTGAAACTGCGTGAAATTTTGAGACTTCCAACCACCTGTCTGATTTATAGAAGTCACAGATTGGCACGTGTATGAAGTCTCTGAATTTTATTCTCAGCTGTGTCAGATAAATTTAGGCTTCTAAGTGCGTTCCGCAAGGTAACTGAAATTCGAAATTCGTTGATGTGATATGGTTCAAATCTTACCTTAGTGATGGATGCATCCAGATCATATCTTCTCATGATAACTGTCGTATCGTTATTCGGTTCTGACCATTCTTATTTTTGTCTTATTGCCTTAAACGGTTCGTTCATAGTATTTATGTTTCTTAGTCTCATCGTCAGGCTGTACTGGGATATGATGTTTTAAGTATTTCAAACTGAACTGTTACGCTAATAGGAGACCGATACAGATTGATTGACTAGATCCTGTAAAAATATGACTCATTGGTGTAGATATTCAACCTATAACCACTGGCTTATGGCTTCCTATCTACTTCGATATAGTTAACCATGTCAGCTTATTGTAATGTAAGCACTGAGATTCGGTTACATAGTTTGATTTCACCACGTTTAAACGACTCCAACTATGGTTTGTTTTGTCATTGAACAAATTTTAATTTTTATCTGGGAAGTAGTTGATATTCAGCCAAATGGATTATGCGTTTACATGTTGCTCCACCTATCGAAGTTTTGTCAGAAAGGCAGTATCACCGACGTTTATACGATAGGTATGAATGATAGGTTAGTGATGTATTTAGTTGTTGAGCTGCATCTTATTTATATTTTGCTATTTTCCTCTTAGTCATTCAGTAAATTTTTAAGTATATTCAATGTTATGTTATTGTGTATATCAGTAAGCATTTTGTTTCTTTTCGCCTATTATTATAGATGCCAATGCGTATTTAGAGTGTTCTGCTAAAACCAAGGAAGGTGTACGTAAAGTTTTTGAAGCAGCTACACGTGCTGCTTTATCCACAAAAGGTAAAGGAAAGAGAGGTTGTGAGCTTGTTTAAAAGAAACAGTAGTTTGATACATTCAACTTTCTATTTTTTTCGACAAAATGATAAAGTAAAATCAACTTGTCGGACTTCTAAGTAATACAAACTGTGAATTGCATCATCATCTTTTATAAATGTATATGTGTTTGCTTGCTACAACGTTACTTTCACTTTCTTTCTACATTTATCAGCGTTATATTTGTATCTCCATGGTGCTTTTATGAGTTCATGCATTTGAATCATGCATTTATAATAGCAAAAATAAGCAACTAACATATTCAGTAGTAGTCTGTGGTACACTCTAATTTCATTGTTCCCTCCCATCAACTAATAATATTGTTTCTGTTAACTTCTCTGTCTCTCTCATTCTTTATCTCCCTTATGATTTCTTTGCATGATTTAACCTACACTTTTTCTGGTTAAAAGATCACTACACTTTTCGATTTGTTGTTAACAGCTTCGCTCTAAAACCTTGAAGATAATTCTGTTATTATCATTACACTTTATCCCGTTCGGTGTTTTTCTGAAGTGATTACTAGTTGTTAGTCAGCTAATAACTTCCTTAAACACAATACGAGGTGTGATCTACCACCAATTTTTACACCTTTATGTGAAGCAATGCATTTATTTCGCTGCATCATCAGTCGACGCCTACTATCGATACCAAATACACTTTTAGTACTGTTAAAAATAATAATGATGATAATCCTTTTTTTTATCACTGCTGTCTTCCAGGCTAATTTTCATTACGATTTGTTGATAATATTGAGAGAATAACATTTTAAATCATGATTTACATTTATTTCTTTTTTTAAAACACTAATACGTTGGGTAGTGTGTGTTTATGTGTAATCGTCGAAAACTCTTTACTGTGTTGTAACAATATATAGACGATTACATACTCATGATATTTGTAAATGCATGTGTCACACACACTCATAAAACACTATGTATACCCTTGGATTCATTTATTTTAGTTTATATAATAATAACATATAATAAATACAGTGGTCGCTTTGTCGATTTACTTCTCTCTGAATGGGATTTACCTGACTGATAGATGTTATCTTCATTTAGTGGTCAAGCTTGCATATCGACATGACCCAGCAACCTTTATCAGTGGAACGCTTGCTCCCTCAACGTCTTAATACGCCAGAAAGTCCTGTTAGATAAGACGAAAAGCAGTTACCGTTATAGTGTCAGTAACCACAGTATAATGGGGGGTCTGAGGTCAAAGTTATTGTGCTATCTAGATAGGGTATCACAGCGGCAGTCTACTTCCTTCGGATGACCAGCAGCACCACTCTGGTACTACATTTTCAACGAAAGAATTAACGCTTGAAAACGTCAACCCCAGAACGACACTCCACTAACCACTACGGTCTTCCAGTGCCCACGAAAAAAGTACTCTCCATCCAGCGTTGAAAAAACAAACTGGAAAACGGCTGTGTGTGACACGCTTCAGACACATATCCCATGAGCTCTATGGTGACACACTATCCCTTCTCCTTCAAGTATCTCGAGGAAAAAAGCCTACATCCATATTGGTAGCCAGCAAGTGACAACCACACACACGCACACTTCCAGTAATACACAAACTACACTCCTCCACTCTCATCTCCTCATTCTAATATTGAGCCTCCACGCCTCACCCAACCTCTCACTCTCCAACCACTGTCAACGGTCAGAGTCTTCGGAACCTCAGTCCTAGTCTCCGAAGACACGGCAGTCGACTCCACATACTTTCAACATCCACACTCTATACCAAGTGGGACATGAAGCATCGTTGACCAGAAGTTTGGAATCGCTAGCCATGGATGTGTGATCTGTCTATGAGACACGTATACAAGAACCGAGTGTGATTATTCAGTTGACCTCATCTGGCCGTGGTAGAGAACCTTCGAAATTCACAGACCCAGTGACCAGCTATCATGGATTCACCGGTGTAGATGTAGTATAGAACTGTAAGACGGAAAGTGCGATTCTCGACTGGATGCCAGTGAACAGGTGTTTATGTGTTGTCCGACTGAATGGATCTATGAGGACTAGGAAGGATCGTGAGACTAAACGATGTCTATTCGTAATCTCCGCCTACGCATCCACAGACTGTAGTTCGGATGATGCAAAGGTCGAATTCTGTGAGAAGCTGTCAGTTTTCCTATTGAAGGCAAAACGTTCAGATGTAGTCATAATGACAGGTGACTTCAACACTGAAGTAGGGATGCTGAGGCAATCGAAAAGACGTCTTCCTGATATTTGCGGAACCTCATCACAACGAAGTGAGAACGGTGATCGTCTGTTTCAATTCTCTTCCAAAAATCACTTGTTTGAAGCCAGCACTAACTTTGAGCATAAGGAGAGACACAATCTCACACGGTGTCCACTGACTTTAAACCGACGATGGACACAGATAGATCACATTGCCATAGATCATAGTTGGAGAGGATTGCTGCTCCTTCTCAAGTACCAATTTGAAGTCCGATCACATTGGTATGAATTCGTATATGTCTGTGCCTTACTGGTCACCAGAAACAGACAACAGTGAAGCTGGTGTGTGGTTGAATGGAAGATGAGGAGGCCGGATATGTATTTATTGAGAGGTTTGCTAGGCATTTATCTGAACAAGACAGAAATATTCATTGTGATGAAACCTGATGTGATATTGAGTCGGCTGTAGAAACAACAGTGAAAACAGTTGTTAACCTATATTCGAAATTGAGCCAACCTCGTTGAGTTTCCACAACGTCATCTGAACTGATTGATGTGGGAGGACTGATTCCAGTTATCTGTGATCACGATGGAGAGTGAAAGCAACTCGAAAGTAAATTGACCAGAAGTTTTCGCATCGATGGCGAGCAGTGGTGAGTGATGACAGTCAGAGAGATGGGGAAGGCATCAATGTTGGATAACACGCGATAACTGTTTGGACTTATTAATTATCCCGGGAATAAGAAGACGGTGGTTGGTGGAACAGTCACTGATAAGCATGAAACTCCGATAACCTTTCGGAAAAGATGTCTACAACGTCGGGCAGAGCATTTGAACGCACAGTTGAGCTGGTCGCTAGCAACGCTTCAATTGCTGAACAGTCAGCCTGATGCTGAATGGAACGTAGATGTCGGTCCTCCAACCCTCCTTGAAGTTGAAATTCTGTGTCGTACTTGAAGCGATGCATGGCAGCAGAACCTGAAGTTTGTAGGATGGAGGTAGGAAATTGCAGATAAGAGTGACGGTGGTGCTAGGTAGTGAGTATATAGGAATCAGCGGTAGTGTCGTCAGACTGGTGAACTTCTCTTATCACCCCACTGTATAAGAATCCATAGCTGCCTTCCTGTGACAACCAAACAGGAATTAGTTAGACTGGTATTTAGTCCACCATCGTAGGGCCCATGTTTACCCTATGCCCAACTTGAGCTCGACAACAGAAAACTCAAGGAAACCAGGCAGGTTTCACACCCGAAATAGTCTGCACTCATCAGATTTTCAACCTACAACTGGTTCGGGAATACAGGCATACCTACCAGTCAGAGGCCGACACTTGTCATATTTCTTGACATGAAGGCGGTGGCATTTGAGTCCATCAACCGTCGGATGTTGTGGCAGTGAGGGGAGTACAAAGCAAGTATATAACTCGGATGGAAGCTCTCTACTCAAGCTTACGCAGTCGTGTAAGAGCATATGGGGTGTTGTCATCAGAATTGATGATAATTAGTGGTTTACCCCAGAGATGTTCACATTTACCGTTCCTACTTAACTTCGTTATAGATATACAAACGGATATGAGCTTAATTATGTATGTCTCAGTTCACAGAGATTGATCCACTTCCTGGAGGTCGTTTCATCGACTTGGAGTACGCAAAGGATATTGTCCTGGCAGGAGAAGATGCTGACACAATACAGGGCATTGTGAGCGCATTGAGCAGAAATCTGAATATGTTAGACATGTGTTTCACTGACACTGGACAAATGTAAGATGAAACTGGAGGACTGGTCTGCTGCAAGTACTACCAGTTTAATGATAGATGGTAGTGAAGTGGTGGAATGTATTGGTTATTTCACTTGCTTAACAAGTTGCATCAACTTGAACAGACTGGTTGCTGACAATATCTCAGGTGGCATACAGGAGGTCCGTTTGGCACTTGTCATACTGAGTCACCTGTGACACTAACTGGTGAGATATCCGACTATGTATAAGAGGACGAGTATACTGGAGTGCAGTCCGTTCTGTCCTGTTTTATGGCTGTGAGACATGGGCGTTGAAAGTGGAAGACGTCGAGTGGTTGTAGGGTTTTGATGATTGGTGTCTTCGTAGGATGGCTATCATTAGCATGATGGAGCCATGGTGTGATCAATGTTGACGTTAGTCTAGGGGTACTTGACAAAACAAGCAAATGGACTGATGAGGTGAACCCTCATCAACTGAGGTGGCTGGCATATATCCTGCGCATACCAAGCCACCGCCTACCTCAACGTATCGTGATAGGGGGATGTTAGATTAGTTTGGAAGAGGGTTGAGGTTGGTCAGACCAAGACATGGCTTTTGTTGAGGAAGTCTCTTACTGTTTGTGTTAGCCGTGTGGGGAGATGTAGACTACCTGGTTGTGGTCCTCAAAATGTTAGGAACCAGTGGTTAAGGACTTTTGCTGATATAGTTAAAGATTGGTTAGTGTGTTGTATATGTATCCACTCTTTGGCGTCTTCTAATGTTTGAATGGTCACAATGACCTTTATCTTCAATCTGCTTGATATTACTTTTTTCTTTTCGCCTGTTTTTTGCATACTATTGTTGGGTGTGGCAACTTGAACTTGTGCACGTGGTTCCACGTCGATTTCTTCTGTTTGTCATGGGTCGACATCAGCCGGAGGAGTATTGAAACTTAAGCGTAATAGAGTGCTGTTTTATCCTGGTTTGGACTCATCAACAGTGTTCATCCTAAGCTCCGCAAATGTGAGGTCTCAAGAAAATATCTACCTATGTGTAAATATAGCAAAAATGTGGCTAATCCATCTAAAGTATTATGACGCAGCGTGTTGTACTCTTCTTTCTAACACAAACTCGTCACTAAATCTCCCAGTATCATATTCAGTTGGATAAGATAGTCAAACAAAGATGAATTACTTTATCATCTAGGTATACATGCTTTCACTAGAACGGTTAATTCTAGCAGTTATTAAAGCTTTGAGTGATTGCGATCATCGATCATGATCTGAACTTGACCAATCAGCACCTATGTGTTTTAGCATTCTTCAAATGCTTTACAAATAATTACAAAATCGCTCCTATAGAATAATCTTACATCGAGTTAATTTTTAGCATTGTAAATTATTACTGTTCAATACTTAGATAACGTTATTTTGTTTAAATAGTAAAATGTCAGTAGAAAGAATCTTGTTTTTTCATTCGTTTTGAAAAATATTTATACATAAAGGTCAATATAATACCTATCTGTTCCAGTTCAGTGGAAAACATTCCATCCGCAAAATTATATGAAACTGGACTAATGTTGACATGTAGAATAACACCAAATACTTTGCTGATTTGTAGTGACCGATTGTAGTATTTCTTAGTTATTTAAAAAAAACAAATATTAAGCTTATCACATAGTTGGAGCGAATCTGCGACTGTTTGCTTTAGGGAGTTAACTTTCAATTAATGAGTCCCGGATTCAACACCCACTCGACCTACTAAGGTTTGAGTAGCCAGGTAGTATCGTTAGTAGCCTTCAAAGATTAGCTGTAGCTCATTGCCCACTGCATGGATATGCGCACAAGCTTGTTCGGTGCATTCCACGTAGTTGGAACAATATTATTTACTGGATAATATTTTCCACAGAATTCTTTGTCCATAGAGTAGGATAAACGTACGGTTATGGATGGTGATCTTCACTTCACAACACCTACGTCCCACTCAGGTTCAGACTGGATGTTAGGCAACTGCAGAGTTGCTGAGGAACATTTGAACTGCACTTCAACGTGTTCTTTCAAACGTTCTAGCCGCTACTTCCGAGAAGTTATCAGCCTC